TTGGATTCAGGAGACAGACACTATCTCTACTTTGAAGATTAGGTTTCAAACTGTCACAGAACGGCTGTGTGCAGGCAAGGGAAGAACTCAAACGCAAACTCACAGAGACAAAGGTAAACTCAAAAAACACAGCTTTATTGCTGGTGTAGGGGTACAATACAAAACTAAACCGGGAAAACTAAAGCACAAGGCGCCACAGGGAAAATCACACAGCTATGAGGGAGGACACAACGCTGACAAAGAGAAACATGGGGCTTAAATACACAGAGGGATAACGAGGGGGAATGAGCCACAGGAGGAGAGCACAGCTGGGAGTAATAACGCAGGACGAGACAAGGGAAGCAAAACCAGAAACATTAACACAGGACAGACTGTGAAAGTAAAACAGGAAACACACTGACTGAACTCAAAACATGTAAACTTAACAGCAACTGAGACAGAACATAGGGACCTGAAACATGGGACAGAAAGGCAAAGTAGACACAACATGAACATAACAACGCCCACAGGGAAAGAGCAAAACAGAACACAGAAGCACAGGACCTCTTTCAAAATAAAATAGGAAACAATGAAAAACTGACATGACTACATGACCTTGACAACATAAGAAACAGACATGAAACACATGAAGGGTAAAGGAGACTTAACACAAGGGTTGAAAACACAAGGGGAATATAATAAGCAAACGAACATAGCAAATCTAATGAGCTTAAACATACACTATAAACATCAAAATGAACTAAAACTCAAAACGCTGGGCCATAAGACCCAGGATTGTGACACAAACTTTCCTTTTTGCTAAAGCATATGTTAGGGCTGGATCAGGTGACCCTGAATTCTCCCTTAGTTATGCTGCAATACACGTAGGCTGCTGGGGGATTCCCATGATGCATTGAGTTTTTCCTTTCCAGTCACCTTTCTCACTCACTATGTGTTAATAGATCTCTCTGCATTGAATCATACTTGTTATTAATCTCTGTCTTTCTTCCACAACACGTCTTCTATCCTGTTTTCCTTCTCTCAGCCCAACCGGTTGCAACAGATGGTCCCGCCCCTCCCTGAGCCTGGTTCCCCCAAAGGTCTCTTCCTATTAAAAGGGAGTTTTTCCTTCCCACTGTCACCAAAGTGCTTGCTCATAGGGTCATTTGATTGTTGGGTTTTTCTCTGTATGTGTTATTGTAGGATCTAGCTTACAATATAAAGTGCCTTGAGGTGACTATTGTTGTGATTTGGCACTATATAAATAAATTTGAATTGAATTGTTTATTTGCTGCCAACAGTGCTAACACTTTGAGAAACGATGGTACGCGCTCTTATAGGTTGCTCCTCTGCGCGTACCCATACATATGTATGGTCTATGGTATTGATCAAAAAGCTCCTTTCATTTCATCACAAGGAGACTGGTGGGCCTCCAAGCTGCAGAGCTAAAAGCATTTGGCATGCCAATGGGATAGACAGCTTTGTGTCTTTTATGAGATTTAGTATGCCCCAGAAGAATGTTCTGCCTACTACATGACATGAATGAACTGGGTAACTAATGGAAATGTAATGAAAAATAAAGAGAAACTAATAAAGGCTGTTAAACAGCTTCACTTTGTTTTTTGACAGTACATTCAATGAAATACAATCTTTTCTAATATTATTATTATATTGCGTAACACTTTATAATGTCACACCATTAAACATTAGTAAGGCATTAAGCATTAATAAGTGTATTAGTAAGTGTATCAGCAATTCCTTACTAATGAGTAATGCCTTAGCATTAGTATACAGAGATTAATTCAATATATGAAATAAGTAATTAAGTATTGAGATACACATTTATATATACATAATGATTAAGATATGAGCTCATTGTTTGTGAGTGCGTTACTGGAGAATTTATATATACTCATTTCATACTGTAATTCATGGTTAATTCAGGCAGTTACTAGTTGTTAGTTAATTATTTTGTTCGACCTCATCTAAAGTGAGGACTACTTTTGCCTTATAAAACATATAAAATATTTATTGCTAGATAAAAACAAAACCCACCGGAGGTTTTCAGAACACAGACATGTAGGTAGGCCCAGAGTCTGCACCACAATTTGTAAGAGGGGTTTAAGTGAGAAAGATACATTGAGCAGTTGGAGCCACTGCTCAGCTTAAATATATTAAATGACTGAGTAAGTCAAGTAATATTAAATATATAAATTAACTTACATATACATATAAGTTTCTTCATATTACAGTGTATGTCTAATTTGAAACATTTTCTTTAATACTCTTCGTTGTTGTTGTTGTTGTTTTATATGATGGTGGAGTTTTTTTAAGTCCTGATGTTTGTGCTGATTCAGCTGCCAGATTGGATTTGAATAGAATATAATAATCTATCTAATCTATCTCTGCTTTGATTGATTGATATACTAAAGTGTTTTCTTCTTTCATGAACAGAATTTTCTCAGAGCTAAGCTTGATAAGTTTCTCTTGTTGCAATTTCCCTGGTCAAATATTCAACCAATAATTGAAAAAACCAACGTGGCATCTGAATGATGTCTTTTATAACACAGATCAATTACAGTTGGATCTTGTGGATCTTGCAACATTTATATTTCTGATGAATGAACATCCACATTTCTAATAAAATTCCCGATGCCTAAAAGTTTTATTAGACCTCTTAAAACTTCACATCCGAAAGCTTTATGATAGAACAAATGCAGAAACAGAGGGGCTTTACCAAGCACATCAAAGGGCATTTTTATGTTATTTTATTTATGTATTATTATTCATTCATTTATTTTATTTTATTTTTATTTTTTTAAATATAAAGCATAATGTTCTGTTTCTGGCAGCCAGTTCAGTTTCTCTTGTCTTCGTTTCTTTTGTTTTTCCTTGTTTGCCAAAATTGTTCTGTTTAATAAACATAAATATTGTGTTACCCTTTTCTGTTGCCTCTCTGGTGGTTCAGTGACATTTTAGAAGTAAAAGGCTGGGGCTTAACAAACTTGCACAGTAGATAACTGTGTGCCTATAGTGGGAACAGCACACATGTTGCAGCTAGGGTGTAGTCAAAATTCAAATAGCACTTAAGAGTCAAAGTGACAGTAACAGGAGATATTGATTGCATTTCATATGTCTTAAATGTTTTCACATTATCTGTATCATGTTTTTAGAAGTACAGCTGAACCTTTTTGTTATGCCTTTTTATGTAAAATCTGAGAAATGTTACAGCTTTTTTTTTTTTACTGTATCTTTAACTCAACCTTGAAACACCAAAGTACTGTCCATGAATATATTTTAAAGCAGGGCCTGTGGGGAGGTTAAATTAACCTGGATTTACTTGGATATTAGTTATATGCTCCTAGCTATGCTTTTATTATTACAGGATAGCTGCTGTGTATGATTCCAGCAGTGATCTTTAAAGTTAAAAGGAATTTCTTGTACACACTAAATGAAAAGTGTTTTATTCATCTCGTGTTTTACTTTTTGTTAAATTCATTTAAAGTAAAGACATTTATTTTGTTTATAAACAAAAATATCACACAATAAATCTCATAAAAAATGTAACTTAC